GTTTGGAGATTCAGCGGTTAGAGTTTGTCGGGATTTGATGGTAGATTTGATCGCTGGAATGCTTCCAGGGTTCTGTTGATGGACGATTCAAGATTGCACGGTTTAAATTTGAATCCATCAAGTTTGAGTTCTATCAAGTTCTGTCGATTGCAGTTTGATCTGGTTGGAGGTTTATTGGATGGAACTTGAATTCGAGCTAATTAAGTTGTCGACTAGTTTCGTGTTATTTAGCTGTGACTCGATCGCGATCGAGTTTATCGAGTTGCAACTTGAGTTTTCGAAAGTTTCTCGAGCTTTAACTGGACTCAAATCAAGTTCACAAAGTTAAAACTCGGTTCACTTCAACTTTGACTAACTGAACTCGACTTACCTCAAGTTTACCGAGTTACAACTTGGCTCAAACAAACTTTGTCCCGTTAGTACTTGACTCAAACAAACTTCGTCCCATTAGTACTCTACTCAAACAAACTTCGTCCCATTAGTACTTCATTCAAACAAACTTTATCCCATTAGTACTCAACTCAAGGAAACTTTGTCCTATTAGTACTTGACTCAAACAAACTTAGTCCCATTAGTACTTGACTCAAATTATTTCCGATCGTTTTAATTCGACTCGGATCAATCGGTTCGCATACTGACCAGTGTCTCTATGTTTCAGATAGGGTAAACCGCCCACGTGTCCCATGACACCCATGACAGACGCGTCCAGAGGAGGGGAGCGATCGTTGACAGTGATCACCGACTCGAGGTCAGCCGGTCGCAGCTTCGGCTGGTACTCCAGGTGAATCAGATCCGACGCGAATCTCGAGAACAGTGCCCGGACCATGTACAAGATCCTACGACGCGGCTCCAGCCGCGTCCTCGTCGTCTGCGTCGTTCTTCTGACGCTGTTGCTCTGCCTGTACTATGTCAGCCAGGCGCAGACACCATCCACCGGGCCCTCGGCCGCGATCATCAACGAGGAGCTGCGTTACGATCGCGTGCCGACCTCCATCACCCCGGACTACGTTGAGTCGCCGGACGCCAAAGTCTCGTTGGACACCTGTCCCATCATCGTCCCCAGGAACGTGGACATCGACACCCAACAGGAGTTCGAGAAATTCGACTTTCAGGTAGGTGGACTTTCTTGAAATATATTTCGATTAATGTATAGTTTTGTCACTGAAAATCTGGCTGCTACGTTCGAGGTACCAGGTTTGACAATTTTTAAATAGAGTGGTTTGGGGATTGAGGGATTGAGAAGTTTATGAATTTGGAGATTTAGGAAGTGGGTAATTAGGGAACTTAGGGATTTCGAAATTTGGGAATTGAGAAATTGAGGAACGTATGAATCTCAAGATTTAGATATTGGGAAATTGGGAAATTTAGGGATTTCGAAATTTGGGAATTGAGAAATTGAGGAACATACGAATCTCAAGATTTAGAAATTGGGAAATTGGGGAATTGGGAAATTAGGAAACTTAGGGATTTCGAAATATGGAAATTGAGAAATTGAGAAGTTTACGGATCTTGAGATTTAAGAAGTGAGAAATTGAGAAGCTTACGAATCTCGAGATTCAGAAATTAGGAAATTGAGAAATTGAGAAGTTTACAAATCTCAAGATTCAGAAATAAGAAAATTAAGAAACTCCGAGCTTCCGAAACATAAGACCGAGAAATTGAGAAACCCAGTGATCTCGGAATTCAGAAACCCATAAATCGACAGAATTTCAATCAATCTCAAGAATCTCAAGAATTGCATCTGAAATCTGCAGTTAAAACTGTCTAACCCAAACCTCTGCCACAAAAACCTGCTTCTCAAATCAACGTCCCCTACAAGCACTCAGAGCAACAGGTTAAACCACCTTCAAATTAAGTAACACCGCCGCAGAAGCGTTCCAAAGTAGAAGTGGCTCAACCCTGTCATACCTCGATGTCCCAGAAAGCCAGGAAAAGGTCAGAAATCCCAGTTATCCTTTCGACGAAGGAGACAAGGTATCCTTGATGAGGCTCGTTGCGCAAAGAAAACGAGGCCAACCCTCGAAGCACGCAAGGCACGGGACCATTCGATCGAAATTGTGGTATGGGGACGAGGGCGCGGCAATTATCGGTAAATCCCGGGCTCTCGGCTAATTCCCATGCATAATCGATGGGAATATTTATGCCGGCGGAGGCTTTGAGCATCCGGCCGGCGTAGAAATAGCTCAAAGACACCGACGGCGTCCGATCGTTCCGGACCGCATCGCGCGTCATTAGCCGGCAAACTTTCCTTTCTCCGATCCCCGGGGAGTCTGCGGACTTTGTCGATTTAATGGACGCCAACCCCGCCCTCCCCCGCCCCCGTCTAATAAGGGATTTTTCTCGTCGCCGCGTCACTCGCTCGAAAATAATTCACCGGTTTGCCCTGGAACGTCCGGAACTTCGCCGAACTGGTTACAAGGGACTTTTCGCCATAGAAATCGGTAGAACGAGAAGACGAGGATTGCTCGGTGAATTGGCCGTCATCTGGAGCGTTTGGTCTTTCTTTGTTTAAACGGAGTTTTTTCATTTCAATGAATTCTAGGCCATTGCGTTGCTTTTCGGTGAATCGGGGAATTTCAGTTATTTGTGAAATGTTGATAGAATTGTTGGGTTTCTGATATTTCTGGGCTTTTAATCGTTTTGAGGAACTTTCGATAGTTTTTAATTTTAAATCCTTTAGTTTTCGAATTGTTTAACCCTTTGTGAAGCAGATTCTCTAGAGTATACGAAACCTTTTGTAGATTCTGCGAAATTACACGTCGAATGCCTGAATAATAGAATAAGGAAATTTGTACTAGTTTCTTACTGTTTGAGTAGTTGAGCCATTTGTTTGCAAATTAATATTATAAATATGAATGTTAGATCTCAGCAAAGTGTCGACATGGTGTTAATTCTACGTCTTATTTCTGAGATATTAAAGAATTTCATTAACGAGCAAGATCCATTCACTCGATAAACGTAAAAATGATTACGATCGAATACAATTCATTCGTTACATTTTCGATATTAACAATCTGACGATTTACAAAATGTGACGTATAATATTGTGCTTGTTCAACTGTTTACAGCAACGTCGATCAACATCCGTTGCGAAATATCCGCCGCGTAAAATCTGAATTTGCTTCCGCGTGTTTAACGTGCAACAGTAAAAACGCAAGGAAATAAGAGTTAACATTGTTCCGGCGTAATGGCTGCCAATATGACACAACTACCGCGAATATTACGGAAATCTGATACTCGCGCGTGAAACGCGAGCAACTCGTAAACGCGAAAAATGTTTCTATAACTAGAAATATCGTTTCACGTTCCATTTCTCCCGGTGCACGGCGCCTGCGTAATTTCACGTGAATATAAATCAACGTATTTCCAGCGGTGAAAACACCGTGGAATTCATTAATTTCCATCAGATTTCGAAAATGTCCGGCGAACCTTATTGCAACTACTACTTGTTTTAACCATTTTTTTATATTTATTTGTAGTATCACAATTGTACCATTTAAAGACATTTCAACGACTCCCAAATATTCTTGAATAAATAAATAGAGCGTCATATTAATGTAACTGAATGAACTGTCGACGTGAACCTCAAAGTAAGAAAGAGCACTTCGGACCACAAAGGGTTAAAAATCATTACTTTACTATATACACTTCATTATTCTGTGTTGATGGAATAAACGAGAGCTAGAGTAACGCTAATTAATAGAATAAATCAATGGAAGAAATTAATAGTTGCTAGAATAACATTAATTACAGCAGAAATTAAAGAAAGAAACACATCGAAAGTATGTTTCACTTGAATTTTATCAACAATCTCGTTCCAAGATTAACAAAACCACTCGGAACTCTCTTATTTACAAATTCATCCAGTCATCTCCAGTTCTTCCGTGTGACTGCAACTGTTTCCAGTGCAGTAAACTAAACTGCATCGCTGCAGTGCAAGACGCAGTCTAACAAAGTCCCGAAATGAAGCGAAGAAATGTCTTGAAGATACGTTCCAGTTGAATTTTATTAACCTCTCGCACGGACGTCGACGTTTCGGCGAGATGAAACGTTCATATTCAAAAGACCGAGTCGCAAGCGAATCATCTAGTTTCTCGAACAGCGAGATATCAGTAGTTTCTATTTCTTCTATTATTTAATCAACGTATATCTTATTTAACACTAAATCTACCGAGCAGTTAAATTGACTTTTCAAAATTCTTCTATAGCAACTTCAAGAGGTCACCTATCGAGACTTTAATCAATTTACAATTCAGTTTGCGCAGTGATAATCAATTCCTTGAATAATTTCTGAAGGAAATATCTGTTATCTTTTTAACCCTTTGATCTCCTTACCCCGAAGATTCTTTGTAATGTACAAAACCATGAACAGAAGCTACATTATACATTAATTGCTTAAATAATAGCAAAAACAGAAACTGGGCGCTAATCTCTTGCTGTCCGAGTAATTGGATCATTTGCCTGCGACTTGATCCAAATATGAACGTTTCATCTCGAAACGTCGACATTCGTCCGAATGTTAATGATTGCAAAAAGAAAAAATTAGTCATTTTGACCCATCTAGTAGGTTTAGTGTTAACTTCATCTGCTGAAAGTTTATATTTCGAAGAATCTTCGCCAGCGAAATGTTGGAATCATTTTGTTAGAAATGGCAGTGAACGCTTCGAACGTTCGCGTAGCAGGGACTAAACAATTTTCGAGGCCGGGTCTCCGAGAAAGTGCATAGACAGCTGTTCGCCGAGGCGACTCAATTAAACGGCCGACCTCCAGCGGACTGTAATTCGTTTTAATTGCAATTGCTGCAGCCCTGGCGCACGCGAGCCGTGGACGTTCGTCAGCTCGCGATCGATCAAGGTAACGTCGTAGCCGGCGTTTTCTTTTTCCGGATCACAGGGAAAAGTCGCTGGACCCGAAGAAAGTTGCTGAACTTTCTGGCTTCGGGCTTCGGGGCTGACGGAACGTTTGGGAATGATAATGAGAATGATATCTGTGGTTGAATAGGGCTTTGTTTGATGAATGATAGGGAAGTTAGACGAACTTAGTTTCTAAATTTGTTTTCTTTTATTTCTCAGATTTCTTGTGTTTCTCTTTTAATTTCTGAATGTACTATCCTTTAATTCCCAAATTTCTTCGTTTTCTTCTAATTTTCAAACTTCATTCTTCTTTTCTATATTCTACATTTCTTGTTTCTCTTTTCATTTCTAAACGTCCTATGTTTCTATTATAATTCCCAAATTTCTTCGTTTTCCTCTCTCAATCCTCAAACTTCTCATTCCTCCTTTCCCCACTCTACATTTCTCGTTTCTCTTTTAATTACCAAACTTTCTATATCTTTTTTAGTGTCCAAACGTCTTCTGTTTCCCTTCAGTTTCCAAACTCCTTACGTTTTCCATCTATTTTCTCTATTTCTTTCTCTCATTTCTGTCTATCCTCCATTGCCTCCTGCTCTATAATGAGTTATCGAGAATTAACAAACGAAAGCCAGCCGCGGAAAGTGTTCTCACGTCGAGACGACATCAGTGGTCCACGCGTAGCAGCGAAGTCACGTACGAGCCGCGAAGAGGGAACACGGTGAAACGAGACATATCGATTTTCCCGCGTAGAATCGAGGGTACTCGAGGCGTGTCGCCCCCGGGGGGTCAGAACGGAAGTCGGAAGTCGTCGCAGACAGCCGAGGCGTCGCGCGGAATCCCGAACGAGCCGGGACCTCGTCGATAATTAGAACCAGCACGTAATAATCAATTAACGCGGCTCCAGTTATCACACGTCCCACCCAGTCCTTAATCCACACTTGACAATGGGCGACAGTTTTACAAAAAAATTCATTAAACAATCCAATTTTCCACGATTTCGTCGCAGTAGCTGCATATTTAACAAACTTTCAGTGAATCGTAGCTTCAAATAAATTCACGAAGTCGTTGGAATTCAATTACGTTCAATAGATCTCCCACTTTTTACTTAGCAACGCATTGCCTTTTATTCTGTTTACCTTTTCTTTTGTTATTTAGTAAGTCTTAAAGTGAGATTATTTGTAATTTATCAAACACGGTCCTTATTTTTACGAAACACAGTTTCTAACCGAATTAATTGGATGAGTTCAATTGAAGATAAT